GCGAAACGCCACCTGAGACATTGAGGTGTGTCTTCAGATACATCGCATCATCCACAAATGTATGCGGCCCGTGAGGAGCTTCCGGTGCCGGGTACTTGAGAAGCAGTTGCAAACAAACGGAGTAGTCCGCCTCGAGCACTGGCATTGATCAGCATCAGTGACGTTGGGTTATCCTGAAAAATACTCACAACTCCAGCGGATGCGAAGAAGCATAGCGACGCAAATTAGATCGATCAGACTGAGAGACGGATCGACCGCGAAGAGGGTATCCCACAGCACGAGCGTTTCATCAAAGGGAAACTCCCGTCCAAAGAGGAGACGAATCCAACGGCTGCAATGTGTAAGTCAAAAGTCAACGTGGCTGGATACGGTTCAACTCACATTAGGAAGATTTGTGGCAGAATTTCAATGTCTTTGAGATGGTTCGCCAGCTCAGGATCGACCTTGGCCAAACAAACCTCATGTATGTGCTTGCTCTTCTCGACAATGGCCGATGTTTCCACCCGGTCTTTGGAAGCAGACGACATCGCTGCCCTTGAGATCGAGTCTTGGACTTCATAGAACGCCCTTGCCCTTTCCATGATCTTAGAGAATAAGGCAAAGGCGTCATGCTCAACGTACAGAGAGTCTAGCATGGCTAGCATTTTCGTATCGACATTGGTGCCAATGGGCGAGATAGCCGCGGCATCAAGCGCGTCCTTGTTAACAACAAAGAGGATGGGCGCAAGAAGTTCATGCATACCCTGACGATACCCACCACTATTGGGATGGAGCTTACAATACACGAACAATGCATCAATAATCATTGTCTGCGTCTGCTCCTCTTGATAGAATGGCTCATCTGGCAATCGGCGAACGTCTTGTGCAATCTCGGCCCTAATTATCTCGTCCTGTCGAACAGTATTCCACGGTGACTGGATAACATGTGAGTTAAAGATCTGTAAATGAGACACTGGCTTCATGCTACTCACCTTTGGATCGTCCGTCAACGGATCAATGGCGACTTGGGCCAGCTCCTCGGGGTGCTTGATGAACTTCAAGAAATGATCTCGTCTTTCTAAATAGAAACTTCGCGATTCTGCAAGCTGAGGCACCCAGTCTGATGATGGAACGTCTGGCATCAGCAAGAATGCCTAAGAAGCTGTCAGCTCCAAGTTGAGATGAAATCAACTTTCAAGTTCACACCGACCTTCCAACAAATTGATCGGAGTCCCGAAATGCACGGACTGGAAGGCCCGTTATATCTGACTGCATTTTGCAAGTCTGACAGATTCCCAGCATGTTTTAATGTCTCGGTCCATCGTTTCCTATGAGTTGGATCAGTCGGTGAACATGATGTCACAGCTGGGATGGTGCGACTCGCACTCACTGGGCTTCATCGAGCGTCCTCATCTTATAGAGAAGAGGCAATGCTCCCCTGAGACCTGCAAAATACAATCAAACAGAAGCAGCGGGACTGGCATCCCAAGGCTTCGAGGATCCCAAAGCTTCACCGCGATAAGAAGAGATCAGGTTGGCGATGGATTGGGATGTAGTTCTTGTTGTGGTTGGAGGTGGCTGGAGAGGAACAGGGCGATGGCGGAAGCTTGGGCCAAGCCAAAGTACCGCTCGTCGTACCTGATGAGGTAAGAGAGCCCAGAAACTGCGATGGAGGGGCAGCGACAGAATGCAGGGGTCGGTGGCCTGGTGTGGGGCAGCGGGGCACTGCGAAATCTGCGACCGCCTGCCCAATTAAAAAGTACCCCGCGATCGGTCCAAGTCATGTCAGTGCCAGTCGCCGGACAATTTTCGTGCATTTACTTTCTGAGGGTGACTATTTTATAGCGAAGTTTTTTCCTTCATTGTGTAAGGCGTGAATATCCTCAGAAACTACCACACACACAAATCTCAAAATGTCCGGACTTGACACATACAAGACGCCCCTCGATGGCAGATATGCCAGCGAGGAGGCCAAGAAGCTGTTCTCCCAGCGCAACCGTCACTCCACCTGGAGACAGCTTTGGCTGTGGTTGGCCGAGAGTGAGTGAAAAAGTCTCTCTCGCAGTGTCCGGGTGAAACTCATTGCTGATCTTGCTGCTATAGGCGAGAAGGAGCTTGGCATCGACGGAATCTCTGAGGAGGCTTTGGAGCAAATGAGAGCTCACCTGACATTGACCGATGAGGACTTCAAAGTGGCTGCCGTTGAGGAGAAGAGACGTCGTCATGACGTGGTGAGTAAACTCGTTCAATTTTGGGTAAATACTTCTCATGATGTTGACCGGCTCTTCACAGATGGCTCGTAAGTGGTTTGGGCGTAGGCTCTTACACGGATCATGATGAGATATTGACATATTCGGTCGCAGACGTTCACGCTTTCGGCCAAGTTGCGCCTGCCGCCGCTGGCATTATTCACCTCGGTAAGAATCCAGTCAATTGCGCGATGCGCGTCATCTTCCTTGTACTGATCTTATGTATAGGGGCGACGAGCTGCTTCGTCACTGTAAGTTGGCTTAAGTCCTCTCGCATTAAGGGAGCCGCCTTCCATGATTCTGGGACACTTTGGAACAGATAGAAAAGTCTCCGAGACTTCATTTGGAACAAGGACTGACATAGTATACTACAGGACAACGCAGAGCTCATCCTGATGAGGTAATGCAAGAAATATGACTTCAGAGGCTAAGAACTAACACCCAACAGAAATGCTATGGACCTTCTCTTGCCCAAGCTGGCCAAGGTCATTCACAACCTCTCTCAGTTCGCTCTTCAGCACAAGGAGTAAGTTAAGACTTTGTAGAGCAGTTGGACCGGCACGACTTCTTGGACGATCCGTCTGCGAAGTATTCCGTCTTAAGATAATGACTAACACAACCTACAGGCTCGCAACTCTGGGATTCACCCACTACCAGGCCGCACAGTGAGCCTCCACCCTGTTCCTGCACAAGTAACACACACTGAACTCCGTCCAGACTCATTACCGTGGGACGCCGCGCCGCACAATGGATCCAGGACTTGTGCATGGACTTGAAGAACATCGAGACCGCGCGCGAGCGTCTGGCCTTCCGTGGTGCGATGGGCACCACCGGAACCCAAGCTTCCTTCATGGAGATCTTCCAGGGTGACGGTGCCAAGATCGACAAGCTCAACGACCTTCTCTGTGAGAAGGCTGGCTTCCCTAAGACTTACGACATCTCAACCCAGACATACACCCGCAAGACCGATCTCGACGTCAGCAACGCTATTTGCGGCCTGGGCGCGACTGCCATGCACATCACCAATGACATCCGTCACCTCGCCCACTCCAAGGAGATGGAAGAGCCTTTTGGTGAGTGATTGATAGGCTCTCCTACCCCTGAAGCCCTGCATACTCAAGGAACATTTAAGTCGAGAGTCCAAAAAGGGGGATGCGGCTTTTGTTTGAATATCGAGCTGACAATATCTCCAGAGAAGGACCAAATCGGTTCTTCGGCAATGTATGTTTAATTCCTAACTGGCTTAAGAAATGATATGCTGACTTCACCACAGGGCGTACAAGAGGTAGAAACATCCCCGCGTTTTCTCTTCCCCCTATTTCGTCCTTATAGGGGCTCAACAGATGGCACACGTCTTCACACTGGATGCTCGCACAGGCGGCCTCAACCAGCGACCAAGATACATTTCAACGAGCTGACACCACTACTAGAAACCCCATGCGCAGCGAGCGCATCTGCTCTCTCGGACGCAAGGTTAGTCGACTACACAGCGTGGAAGAGTATTGATGCTGACACCACCTAGCTGCGCTCTTTGCCGGCCAACTTCGCGGATACGTACGCGGACCAGTGGTGTAAGTCACTCACTACCCCCGGGCCCCCAAGTGATTTTTTAACGTGCTAACACCTGGCCAGTCGAGCGCACGCTCGACGACTCTGCTATTCGGAGAATAGATATCCCCGAGGTAAGTTGACCCCGCTGGAAGTATGGAGACGCGGCGCTAATCAGTAGTAGATGTTCCTCTTGGCCGGTGAGTTTTGAGCGGCTCTAGACGCCACAGCCACCGCTCTGCTGAAGAAGTTGTGCTAACATGCCTAGATGCCATCCTTCTCGGACTCGACAACGTCACGTCCGGCCTGGTAAGTCCTTCTTCTCCACGCCTTCAGACTGGAAAACACCACGCTTGCCTACCCCAATCACTATGGAGTAAATCACTTACAGTTCACAGGTCATCTACCCTGAGGTCATCCGCGCCCACGTGATGGAAGAGCTCCCCTTCATGGTAAGCCCCAAAACATCCCCTGGAAAGTATGTTAGTCGCGCACAGATCGGCTGCTAACCATGGCGACAAAAGGCAACCGAGAACATCATCATGAAGATCGTCGCCAAGGGCGGCTCGCGCCAGGAGGCCCACGAGGAGATCCGCGTTCTGTCCCACCAGGCCGCCGACGTCGTCAAGAAGCAGGGCGGCAAGAACGACCTCATCGAGCGCATCAAGGCCACCGAGTACTTCAAGCCCGTCTGGGACTCCATCGACCAGCTCCTGGACCCCAACCTGTTCACCGGTCGTTCCGCGACCATGGTCCAGCGCTACTGCGGCGAGGGCGGTCCTGTCCAGGAGCAGATCAAGCCCTACGCCGAGTACATTAAGAACACTGGCGCTGCCGAGCTCAACGTCTAAGTTGAGGTGGGCTGTGTCAGTGTAGTATGTTTTCTCGGACGGTGACCATGGCTGGCAATCAAGTCGGCTCTGAGTTGGGGGTTCACTCGCTTTAGGTTGATATAAGAGGGGATGAAAAAAAGCGCTTTAGAGGTCTGGCTGTTCATACGGCTGCCGCACGTGCTACCAAAAATCGTTTATGATTGCGTCTCGCAGGAGAAACAGGAAAATATAGACTGGGATTTACGGATCGTTGGAGACCAAGTGATCTTTATTATCAGTGTGACGCTATGCTAAGAACATGAAAAGTATCACAAGGTAGTCAAGAAGGTGACAACATAAAAGGCACCAAGCAACATAATCCACGAAAATTTTATTCTCTCTCCCAGAACAACTACGCCCACCCCCACATGTTCTCGATATTGTTACACCAGTCCGCCGGGATCCCGCAAAAGTTCTGATCGGCGGCCGTCGGCGCCGCGAAGCACTTGTTGCCGCCCGACTTGTTCCGGATGCACACGTACCCGACGGCCGTCGGGTTCGGCCACGCCTGCCGCAGCTGGCAGTCCGGGTTGAGCGTGATGGTCGTGCCCTTGTCGCGGGAGTACCACTGCCAGGTGTTGCAGCCGGGCGAGAAGCGGAACCCCGTGATGGCGTCTCCGCTGGCCGTCCTGTCGGCGCATTGTCCTCCTGCTTGGACGGAGACGGCCATGGCCGCTGCTGTGGCGGAGAGGAGTGAGGCGAGACGCATCTGTGTTGGGTGATTCACGTGTTAGTTATTGGGGGGGTTTTTTTTTTTTGGGATGGTGTTGCTTTTTCTTTTCATGTGTTCTTGCGTAGAAGGGTAGGCGGGAACTGACTGTGAAGTTGGGTCTGCTTTATGGTAGGCCTTGGACTTGAACGGTTTTCAAGACTAGGTGGGGATCAACGTAGAGGGGACATCCGTCAAACGAGAGCAGTTGCGCTTGTCGACAAGTATATATGTGCGTGAACGAGATTGGCACGATTGGTGTTCATCCCATGATTAAGACGAATAGTCGACTCTTGAATTAGAGTTGTAGGTCTTGAGTTACCACAATTACCCTTGAATGGGTTCCCTAGTAATCAACTCAAATACAAATCCTTCCTTGAGTCGTTCGTCGTATATTCGGAAATGACGATCCCCCCTTGCCTGAGTCGTGTAAGTGGTTGGAGCAGAGGCGTAGCTAAAAGCTTAATTGATCGGTTGCGCGCCGAATTTACCTTATTCACGCTCAACTCAAAAGTGTGAAAGAAACCGTGCTCACGTTTCCACTGCCCAACCTCATTAGAGAACAGCATACCGGTTGGCTTGTTCGCGCGAATACGTGGGAAACCGTCAAACTTACCACGCTAATTACGAGGTTCACTTGTCAGCCTCAACAACCCACCCACCGGCTACCGAAGTGTCCGACGGAAGTCGAGACTGATCAATAAAGGCCGATGAGGCCGATGAAACCGCACTCGGAGGCTCCGTAGTCAAATTTCCCCCAGTGTGTCTAATTGATGATTTTAAGTATAGGCTCCCATGATGAAGCGAGTATTACAGCCCTGGGTCTAGTTTGGAAACTTGGTTGCCACTTTTACTAAAGCTTGTTGTATTATGAACTTCAACTCTTCGAGTTGCGAGCGGCTCGTACCTTTTACAAGTGAGGATCAGCATTATAAGTGACAGGCTGAAGCGCTCAGCATCCACATCTATAACCCCGATGTCTTCCTTCCCCAGCTGAGCCAGCAAGACCTCTCTCCAGCTCACGACTCTCTTTTAAACAGGCCAACTCTCTCACATTCATTACATCTCAAAGAGAGAGACACACACAGCAACTACATTCTTTTCGCAATGAAGCGGCAACACGTGGCCCTACCGGGCCTAAAGTCCCTGGCCGCCGCCATCCTCGTCGCCCGCGTCACCGAGGGTGCCAAAACCTACTGCGCCGACCAAAACAACGTCGTCGTGGCGGACGCCAACTGCGACGGCACCAAGCCCGCAGACACCTTCTTCATGTTCTTCAGCGAAGAGGACTCCATCCCCGTCGGCAGTGCCGTCGACCCTCTCAAGACGGATCTGTATGACAGCGCCGACCCGATCGAGAGACAAAATGCCAGGTTCCCTTTCGAGGTTGACGAGGCCAAGTTTGAGACTAGAGACATGGAGCATAACGGGTTCGGAAGGCGAGCTTGTGGAGGTAATGGTGGTGGTAGAGTTGGAGGCGGATATATTGGAAGGCCCATTGGTGGTGGCTACTATGGTGGTTAAAAGTCTTGTCTGTTTGAGGATGAAGAGCGGAAAGATTTGAGGGTTTCAGGACCGATATTATACCACAAGATGCTTGAAAATCTCACGGAATCCTGCCACTGTTTGATATTTGACCTCATTTTCATCGATGCTCCACAAAACTTCCGTCAGTATGACTTCCGTCAGCTTCTGGTAGCTGTGAGTGCGATCTGACCTCAATTCGAGGTTGATTCTCAGCCATGCAAGACTCACTAAATCTCCGTGCCTAATCTAACGTTTGAAAGCCGCCAATGGTGAATGAAAACCTTGAAAGTGTGACTCTTAGAGCTAGGCTTTTCGGACAGCGGTTTACCATGGCTCTCACACGACTCTCCCACGACCAGGTTCTCAGAACACAAGATCCAAAAGCTCCCTCTGGCCAGCCCCCCATCCCAAGCACCATATTGTCATCTCTCAGAACTTCATAGAAGAACGAACGTCGGAACGAAATTAGAATGGAAACCAAGCTTTCCCACACCCCTGCATCGCGCTTTCGCATACTGCCGATCTCCGAAGTGCTCGCCAGGTGAGTAAGTACCAACCAAGACCCCACGGGTCAACTCATCATAACGATTTTTGGCTCGCTTCTAATGCCCAAATCCCATCGGAGGTGTTCTCGTAGCCAAGGCATCATAGAATATCGGCGTTTCCTATCTCAGCTACGGGCTTCTATCTACAGTATCGGTGAGCCTGGAAGATAATCAGAATCCACATGACATCCCAGAGATTGCTATATAAACTCGAATCCCAGGCTCATTCATACAGAACTTCACCAACCAACAAATGATGTAGGATGTAGGGCGGCGTCGGAGTTTCTGCTGTCTGTTTCAACAGTTTCCTAGTTCCTTATTCATCATCGTTTCGAACACCGCCCAGATTCTATATACCGACACCAAACCCCCTCCGCAGTCTGCCTCAGATCCAACCTCCGGCCCTCCTTCCTCTCCGCCCGTCAGATGATATTCACATGTGAATACACCATAGTCAATCATCGATGCTAGAAACCACACCGAAATGTAAATTCACCAATCTCACCTTCCCCATTCATCTGCAAAGGCTACTCTCTCTTGAACAACCCTGGTATACGTGGATGAGCAACACCAGACCTCTTGCAGTTTCACCCGGCCCGATCCCAGACTGGGTAAAGTTCCGCTTGTACCACCGTAGGACATCCTCAACAGTCAGGAGTATATATATATGGAACGCGCGAAATCTCAGCTGGGCCCTATGAAGAGGAATTCGGATGCAGCTCCACGAATTGCACTACGGATACATACACAGGCTACATCTGCCTGATTCTGGCAAGTGACACACATACCGGCACCATGGGATTTGATTGCCACCACCGTAATCAAAGGCGATCAAGAAAGGGAGCAAAATTAAACCATAATTATAGGCCTGACTGATATATACACATTATCCGCTCGACCACTACCAACACGTCGACATCCACAAGGTTTCCGCATCATGAACAAAAAAAAGCATACTTTGTATTTCCTATTCATAACGCCATTCTCTCCATTTCCCCAGTTCAGGCCCCCAAGCCATAGGTAGTATCTTTCTATAAGCTCTCTGTTCTTTGCGCTGAAATTTGTCCCCAGACCACACCGGGAGCTCCATGCAGACCCATGACCGAAGGTGGGGTCGGTTGTCGTCGTTTCAACTTTACCCTCAGAGTCGTCAGTCACATGGACCCGGGTCGAAAAACAACAACCAGAAAAAAAAAAAAGGTAAAAAGAAAATTTCGTCTTGTTGCGTCAAATGGCTCTCTCTAAGCACATCCGGCTCCGCCTCAGAACGAAAAGCCGTGCTGTTCAAGATTGCTCTTTAGGGTATCTTGACCAAATTTTACTCCATGGCCGTAGCGTACGGCCGGCCCCTTTCCACCAGTCCCTCATGTCTCTTCCCCCCATCATCAATTCGTTTGCTTCCTTCACTCCTCGTCAACCTCCTGGCACCAAGGGTGCGCGAGAACCTGGTTAATGTCATATCTCGCAGCCACATCCCGGTTGAGCATGCACCGCACCAGGTCAATGCTCTCGTCGCTCATCGTCCACGGGACTCGAAGGTCTCGGTCCATGATTTCGTCAATGCTGTAGAACGGGTTCTCCTTATAGATGATCGTGTAGAGCAAAATTCCGAGCGCCCAAACATCTTGCTCCTTGCCACCGTATGGCTTGCCAGCGAGTACCTCGGGAGCAGCGTAATCTGACCAGTCAGTTTCAATCACGATATAGGGGAAGCTATAAGACTTACCAATAGTGCCGACAAATACGTCAAAGGGGCCGTTCTTGATGTACGCTGCGCTTCCAAAGTCAATCAACTTGATGTTACCCTCGCCGTCCAAGACCACATTCTCGTCCTTGATGTCTCTATGGACCACCAGTGCCTTGGTGTGCAGATGGCCAATAGCCTTGGCAACCTGGACGAAGATACTGCGGCACTCAGCCTCCTCCATGTTGCTGCGGAGCTCAATATAATCGAACAGATCCATGCCCGGTAATCCATGAGGCACCATCTCGATGTAGTAATTGACCTCGTCCTCGAAGAAGGATTCCATTTCGACAATATTAGGATGTTGCAGATCGGGCCGGCGCAGGTAGTCGAGAACGTGAATCTCCAGAGGCACTGTGCCGAGCTTGCGATCTCTCGTCCACGTGTCTACAAGAATACGTCGCTTGGTCACGTACTTGAGAACCACCTTCTTCTGCGTCTTCTTATCTTTGGCCAATTTGACCTGACCGTAAGCGCCCTGACCCATGTCTTCGAGGATCTGGAAGTCATTGATGGACTTTTTCTGCTGTGCTGGCTCAATAACCTTTGGCACGGATGGTTTTTCCTGCTTCTTGTCCGTGGGACGCTGTGAGCCGGTCAACTTTGCAGCGGCCGTCATCGCGACTTCCTTGAGTTGTTTGGTGATGGCAGATGCCGTCGACGACGAAGACTCTCGAGGTTTTGGCTCATCGGAATCCGAGCTAATCTCCAGTGGGGTGTGCGCCGGTGTCTGCCCAGGAGATGGCTGATGCAAGGGAGTTGTCGTTCCAGAGGCGGACGCCGACGTCACACCGAGCGTTGACCGGGCGGCGTGCATGTGCCTGGAGTAAGTAATCCAGAGAGCGAAGACCATTTCTGAGTGGGTGACAGAGAAAGAGTCGTCCTGGTTGTCCCCGTCCTTGTCTTCGTCCTCGTCCTCGATGACGGTCTCTTGGATTACGGTGGATTGTTTTGCGCTTCTGACCACCCGCATCTGCACGTCAACCTTGAGCTCTGACCCATCCCTGTGCTTTCCGGGTACCCCGTCCGGCCGCAAGAAACTCGCAGCCGCATCCGGGCGATTTTCCCGTAGACCCAGAATCGCCGACGCCCGGCGGAAGCTGTGCTCTGGCACCACAATCCCATCCTGCAGTTGAACACCATCCTCTTCCGTCAGAATATGGAGAATCTTTTCAAAGTCGGGCACCAAAGAGTCAATGGCCATGCCGTCGGGCTTTTCGTAGCCAAACAGAGCGCCGCAGAAGACCGAATTTGAGCTTTGAATCTTCAGAGTCTCTGGGTCCACGACGATGATCCCTGCAATATGCGGGAAGCTCGAGACGCGTAGCTCTGTCTTGCCCCGTACTTGCTCGACGCTGCAGGGAATGTTGACTTTGCTTGGGTTTGGGCATGTGAAAAACTTACGCCTCGCAATCTGCGCAAAGTCTACTTCGCCAGTGCGAGGGTCGATGCCTTGCCGAGGAATGCGTGGGATCAGCTTGCCGATATCCACGCCAGGTCTCAGTGACTCAAAGCCCCAAATTGGTGCTGTGGCTCCTGAAATTTTCTGGACAATGCCGTCGTCGTCCAGCTCAATCTGAGCTACATCTTCGTGGATTTCCTCAAGGACCCAAATGAGACCAACCCGCTTCTCCTTTACCCACAAACTGGCGGAACCCGTCGCACCGTTTCGTTTCTGGATTGGAACCACATCACCGCATAGAAGGACGCCTCTCGACCGACTGCTTTGGTGCCGTGAGCTTCCCCTGAGTTTGGGCGGGCTGGGATCTCCACTGTGAACGGTTTGTGCCTTGCGAGTGACAACTTTCGGGGGCTGTGATCTGGAGTTTGGCTTGCTCAAGAGCTGTGCCGTAATCCCACCTCGTCCGCCCAGAAGTGACGTTGACGTTGTCGAAGCAGCAGAAACCGTTGGTGCAGGTGTCGCTGTTTTCGGAATATCTTCCGCCTCTTTGGTAGTGTCTTCAGGATCCATCTGCAGCAGTTTCTTCTCCAACCAATCTCTCCGCTCTTCTTGAACGACCTCTAGAATACCCATCCGCCGCACTTCAGCCTTTGTGACTCCGAAAACCAAGCAAGCAAGGTCGTTGGCCGCGATAATCGTCCATGGCGGTTTTGACTCTGTTGTGAAAATGGCCTGCGCTGCTGGGACCCACCGTGTCGAGTGTCCATGCACAGCCGGGCCAAGTGCACTTGGCATGTTCGCGGTTGTTGGTGAAGCTAGCATCTCTTGAGCTGCCAGATAGGGTTGTGCCATGGTGTCGATGAGCTGCTGGTGAACCGAGACCGGTAGTGTATCTGTGAGCGTTCGCTTCAGGCTAAGTCTTCGAGATGGCGGCGGGGATGTCTTTGCAGTTGTTCCACTCTCGTTCGTCGGCGTCCTGCTCGAGTTTTCCGATTCACTGTCTCCCGTGGCGACTTTCTGATTTTCATCTTGCTGCTTTATTGACGGTCGGTCGTTCGGGGAAAATGTTGCAAACTGGGTCGCAGTTGGAGACTGACTGGGAGACTGAAAGGGTTCAGGGCTTGATGTTCGAGGAATGAAGTTCGCTTCAAAGAGATTCTCCCCCGAAACTTGCGGGGGGCCCGTCAAAGGACCGAGGATGGATTGATCCATGGATGGAAGGTTGCCCGCTCCGACAAGCTGTGCCCTAGCCAGCAAGTCCAGCATGTTCTGAGTCTCGACGTCCCCGGAGGCCCTTGCCTGGGCGCTCGCAAGCGCAACGTTGGAGGGTGAAACGGACCATCCCATCCGGTCTTTCATGAATTCTATGGATCGCTTGAGGACATTTTGCCGGTTGTGTATATACTCCTCGGACTGGTGGGCGAAAGAGAAGGAGTGTAATGACTCGGAGGGGAAGCGGGAGAGGTCTTCGGAGAAGTTAGGTGACGATGGATGAGAGCTAAACGGCATGCCGGGAGGGTTCGCGAGTAGTGTTGTCATAGATGTTGATCTCGATAGACCGATGGAGGAGCTTCTGGAAGGGGCTGCGGAGGGAGCTCGCGAAGACGGTTGTTGTCGAATTCGTCGCAATCCGGATAGACCGAGGCCATGGTCGTGGTCTGTTACAATGGAGGATCTATGACTGGAAAAAGGCCTGTCAGCACGATGATGCCTCAAATGACTATAGACTGCCATGTGATGGCCCAGTTGCCACCTGGTGACATCTTTTATGGTGCAGCCGCACCCGTAAGTGACATCCTTCGAGCTTGTCGCCAAGCAAAGCCACACTCAAATTGTTGCTGCCTCTTTTGCCGAAATACCATATCTCGGGTTGTTTTCACGCTCGACTCCCACTTGGTTTGGCCATTGGCATGAGCCATGCCGTGATGCGCTCATGCGGACCTGGCGCATCCCAAACATTAAAGCCCCCTCTGTTTCGTCGCCGAGACGCTTGCCTTGGCATTCTTCAACGCCCGACTCTTCCATGAGCTCGCAATCAGCTCAACAGCTTTGCCGTTCAAGGAATATCACGGTGTAATCGTTGGGAAAGAACCAACCTTGGTGGCACATGGTCGCTGCCGTCTGCGACAGATCCGGCATCGAAGGAAAACCGCATTCGACCGCGGCCAGTGTTGTTGTCGTCGGTTATAACGGCGAGGTTTCCGGTGCTTCGGTTCTTGGGGAGTTGCAGCTGTGTTGTTGGGGTTCTGCTCCTTCCGCGAGGTTCTTCGTGATGTGAATCGGTGCCTGCGAGCCATGGAAAGGCCTGTATTAGAGAGGGAGGAACATTTCGTGGGTCTGAGGAGAGAGAGACGGGAGGCGGACTCTGTGTTGGGTGGCCGAAGGACGTACCATTGTTGTGAGGTCCCCCATGCGTCTGTAGCATAGTTGAAGAAAGATAGGCAGTCGACTCGGACAAATGTCAGGGTTAAGTAAATGCGGGCAAGAGGCGGATTCGACGATGCAGGCTCGGATTCGGCGGGGTCGAGGAGCGAGATTCGTTCTGGGAGGTATCGGGGTGCGGTCTCGTCTGCTCTGGGACGTGGTGGTGGGAGGGAGCAAATGGCAGTACCGGCGGTAGGTAGGTGTGTTGCTGGCCGAAAGGTAAGGTAGTTAAGGTATGGTGCTGCTGTACGACAGTGGCTGTTCCGGCTAAGGTGGGAGGTAAATGAGGTACGGAAGGAACTGCTGCCCAGAAGATACCTCGGGCAGGTAAGGTGAGGCAGGGAGTCAATCAGTGGTGAGGTAAGTTAGGTAGATCGATCAGGCTCGGTGGGCAAGGTTTGCCACAAGGATGAGAGTGTGGGAGTCTTCGACGGGTGGGTGTGCGGTAAGGAACGTTTTTGTTTTTCTGCTTTGGTTGCTGGTGGTGCTGGCGTTGGCGCTGGTGCTGCAATGCTGGTGGTCCGACCAGAACAGAGTAAGGCGAACGAGGGAGGGAGGCTTTTCAGGAAGGATTGATGGACCGATCCAGCAACAAGCGGTCGGGGAGAGATAGAGAGAGAGAGAGAGAGATTGTAGGTAAAGGTGAAGCTGAAGAAGCTGGTCCGTGTAGCGAGCAGCAAAGCAGTTGTGGTACTAGTCAGGTGCGGTACGGTAAGGTATCCGTAGAGCAGGCAAAATGCAAGCAAGTGAGTAGCAGCAAATCCGGCAATAACGTAGTCAGGTAGACAGACAGACGGAGCAGGAGCAGCAGCAGGAGCAGGAAGCAGAGACGCGGACCTGCTCTGGCGGTGGTCCAGTCCGGTCCAATTCAACTCACCGAACGGCCAGGAAAGGGAACGTGAGTCGTCTCGCCGTCCCGTGCTAGTGCCACCTCAGTGCCAGCGCGCCAATGCCAGAATGCCAATGCCAGTGTCAGTGCCGGTGTCAATGCCGCAACCGGATGTCCCTGCTTGGTGGTGCTGGACTCTGGACTCTGGACTCTGGATTCCGGAGTGCTGTAGTGCCGGTACGGATAGAGTGCAGAGTGCTAGGTGTTGCTGGGCTGCCTCGGGTACAATCTGTTTTACCCTTTCTCTATGTGTCTCTTGGCTTCTTCCCTTAATCACTCGAAAATCCCACTCTGGTTCTGTGCCGTTGACAAGCGCAACAAGACAGAGAGTCAGGCAGAGGAGAACGGGCGGGAGGGGCGTAGAGAAGCGAGTGGTCGTCCGTCTTCCAAGGCAAGGCGAGTGACTGGCTTTAACACCCACGTGCAGCTGGCCTCGTGAAAGAATCGTCTGCCGTAATCATACAAGATGACCTAAGACAACAAGCTGGAAAAGTGACAGAAAGCCCCCGGGTTTGGTTTTCTGTGGCGTCCACGGTCCTGGGCGGTTCAGTCAAAAGTCCACAACGTTGCGGCAGATGCTTGTCCGAAAAGTGAGGGGCGGTCCTTCGAATGCTTGGAAAATTCCCACTCGTCAAGCGAATCCAATGATGCCGGAGGGCCTTGTAGGTAACAGTGGGTGGTGGCACGTCACGGACGAGGGAGCGGCGTGGGCGGCGGAGCTGGCGGGCGATGAAGACGAGGGAAAGGACGACGGGACAGAGGGCAGCACAAGCTCGCTCGGTGCCAAAGTTGAGATGGTTCGCTTTAGGATGAGTATGTTTGATGAACAAGTAGAAGAGGAATAAGTTTAGGGAATGGGGACGAGGGATGGAAAACCATAAAGACTGAGGGATAGGAAGAGAGGGCGGGGGAGGGAAAAAAACACAAGTCCACTTTCTGCCTCCAGTCATCGAAAATTTTGAGATGCATCTGCGTACGGAGTACACAACTTTTGCTACCAAATCTGCGTATTTCTCTCTACTTTATCATACACGGCACCGCCCACCTTTGGCGTCAAGTAACCTCGTAAAACCCCTTGTTCCCTCTCCAGAAAAACCCTCCCCTCGAAATCCGAACCTCGCGCAGTTATTTGCAGCTTTGGTGGGCGCACAACATGAGTTGCAAGCTTGACTTACAGCTTCGAAAAGCAAACGCATCACTGATTGGGGGGCTTAATATGCGGCAGTGGCCCTGGAAAACATGGCTGCAAAGTGGGGGGCACGCCTGAAGCCCGTACCCTTCACATTCATCGAGCTGTACCTATCTCACTCCTCACTTCATGCTGAAGCTCAGTCTCATCACACATTCACTCACTCACTCACTCACTCACTTTATCCACCACCTCACCTGAAGCAGACCTGGAGGGGACATGCACGTGAAGCAGCAAAGCTCTTCAGCTGGACTGGCGGCGGACCCACCACGTCAACATTGAGCGGCCCCAATCTCCCGGGGAGAACACCAGCGAAGAAAGGGACAGCATACCTTATCCTGGGATACGTCACATTGCCGCAGCCAAGGCCGGCAATACAGTGCCTGACCGAAGCCGCTGTTAAGCCATCATCGCCTAGAGTGGCCCGCCGCCCAACGCTTCCCAAACATGCTTGATACTCATTGGGCAATGCCTCTTATCCGTAGACTCTCCATGTTCGACTTGCCCTACTCGCCATCCGAAACAAACGTTATCGACGCTCTTCTCCTGCCGAACCGCCGGAATTGAGACGAGAAAACGGACGAGCAGGGAAAAGATAAGCCAGCTAATAGCTACCGACGATGAAAAAACACACATTCCGTCGTCCGCCCAACAACCACCAGAACAACGGGGCAAATCCCTGTAGATGTCTTTTTTCAAGGCGTAGCATCAGTGGCAACGCAACCTCCTGCTAACTGCCCAGACCCAAGTTGTCATCTACCATGCTTTACATATCAAACACAGAGTAGCGTGTTCTCCAATTGAGGTATCTGTGAGCCTCTTCACCAACACCATCGATTCGAACCGCAAAAGCCGGAAATAAGAGAGTCGGGGTCGTTGCAAACAACCCCGTCAGAGCGACTGAGCAGTTGATGTGCCTCCCTGACATTATCAGCTCTTGCTCACCCGTCTCTGAGCAAAACCAGGAAGGAAAACATTGGCAAGCTGGCCGTTTGGATCAGGACGATTCTGAGTCAATGAATAAGCGGCGCCTCGTCAGTGCCCTTCCCCAAGTTATCTTTGTCTATGCTTGAGCCGTACTTCCGTCTTTACGGAAAGTAGGCTCAAGGTACGAACAGAGACAAGGCCATGGTCTTGACTGGTTGGATAATGTCGTTTGCGAACGCAGCATTGCTGGAATCGTGACGGCAACTCATTGATCCTCATGTTACTTTAGGTAGGTTGTGGTCTCAGTGAATCGTGATTGGCACGATAGCTAGGTGAGCAACACGCGCAGTTTGTTGACGAGAATTTCGGCGACATGGTCGCTTTCCAGGCTTGCCGGCAACCCCGCATTTGGCGTTCTCTTTGCTGGAATCGAAGAATTCCAATCCCATCGAGCTTGCTATGACAGCACAGCGACTTTCTTTAGTCTCCTTCTCGGTCTCGCATGTACCACCAACAAGTCTAAACAACCTTGACGACGCCGCGGGAGAGTCGGAAATCAAGTGAACGAGCTGGCATTATCTGCCAAGATATTAGCAGGGTTCGAGGTCGTTTCCCGTTGTAACCAAGTTACCGGAACATATTAGCGATGGGCTGCTCTACATACCTACCTAAGCTCCTGGTAAGACACCACCCCACACGACGGATCACCCCCTACGACGGATCACCCAATTCGGCCACATTCAGCCAAAACCGCTATTCCATATATATATAAATAATTAAAGAATAAATATTTCAAAAAATACACAAGCTATAAAAGAATATAATTAATATAGAAAAATATTTTAAAAAATTATTTTTATATTATATTATATAATAATATTAGATTTAAAATATGCCTTTAAATGTTAGTGTTTACTAGTAATCTCTATATAAATACTAACATTATACTATATTATATAACTCTTTTATTTATTAAAAAAAATAAAATTTTAAAGTGGATTATTTTTAATAGATTTATATTATACTTATATAAATAGTTTTTTATTAGTAGTATAAGTATTATTATATAGAAATATTAAGTTATATTATAATAAGTAGTATTTATAAAAACTTGAATTTCCTAAGCTTATATAATTAATATAACGCTAAAAATAGTATATTTAAGCTTAGAAAAATATTTTAAAAATTCTAGTATTTTAAAATACTTAACTTTATTTATTTTTTATAAAGTTAGAAATCGTATTTTTATATAGTAAAAAATATTATATTTAACTTAATAATATCTTAGTAATTATAATAGATTATAATTTATAAAAATTATTTTAGTAAGAAAACTATATATTCTATATCTAAATGTATTTTTTATATATTTTTTATATTATAAAATGAAGTAGGTAGAATTAGTGGTTTTTGACTGAATTGTACCGAATTGGGTGATCCGTCGTAGGGGGTGATCCGTCGTGTGGGGTGGTGTCTTACCTTTGGCGGCCGGTCCAGAACACATGCGTACCTGTTATCTTATCGGAAGCTATCGGCAATCGTAAGGTACCTTGAGTACATGAGCAGCACGTGGTTTATATTGACCACAGCAGCTAGTAGTAAAACTTTCCTTTTGTCCCGAGGCAAGGTAAGCTGAGAAAGCAAGTGCACGACCGACCTACGACTCGGGTTCTGCATCAAAGCTGTGACACTCGCTATCCAGGTATGGGTGAGCGGATGCGATTTGTCTCTGTCGCATCCAAGATAACGAAGCATTGTCCGTTTAGCCGTTTAGTTTGACAAATTCGCGATTTGCGTAGCCGAGAAACTGTCAATCTGCCTCAAAGTGTAGCTCTTGTACGGATGGGGTTTGAGACAGCCGGTCACCAGACTACATAATGGAGATCACTTGGCAAGGGGTCGATGAGCGGTAGAGTCGTATCTTGTGGAGGGTACCGAGACAAGAGAGCGGCATGAGAAGAGCGTTCTCTCTGTACTAGGGCATACTTTGCGATCTTCTTAGATAACTAGAGTCTGTGACGAGGTGTCGCGTGGCTCACCGCTTGCTACGTTCTTATCTCGTACCCGGGTCGCATGATATGTCATGACGGTACGCAGAATTCCGATTTTCGGGTTGAGCTGCATCAGGCGACCAAGCGAATGTGTGTCTAGTGGTGCTGGAGCCGCTGCATTGACAAAACGGGGCTAGGGCGTGGAAAACTCGTGAACGTGTTCAGGATCGTAGTATCAGATTGCCATGACGGATCTGAATGCAGATCTGCCAAAGACTCACGACCCTGCCAAGACTGCAAAATCAACCGGCTAGAAAGAAGAACATGTGCCTTCCAAACAAAGCGCGGCGATGTCAGCTTCGGCCAAGCTTCAGACGAACAGTGCTGGTCCCACTGACGGGTCAGAATCCGGACCGATCATGGCGGAAGATTTGCAGCGCTTGCCTCTTAAGCAGCTACCTACCAGCCGCACGGCTTTCTTGGAGCTCTCGAAAGAGCTGTGGCGAGGATCTTCAGAAAGAAAGGATCCTGAAGACAGATCCGATTGTCACCGTGTCTCTCGTAAACGTGGAGCGGGAGTGCTAGCCCCGCCAAAACCTCCGAATTCGGGTTCCAGAGAATGTTCCCCGTCTAAGGTTGTTCGGATGCAGCCACGGCAAAGAGCGAGGGAGAGAGAAAAAGACGGGGTTCGGCCGCCAACATGGCATTCTCCTCCGACAGGCAAAAGTCGGATCGAATGCCGTCTGCGGGGAGGCTGGGACACCAAAGACATGCTCCATGTCAGCTTTGGCACGAGGAAAGGTATCTAAGAGCAGCAACCGACCCAGGTGCTTGCCTCGCACCCAACCACATGTTCCTTGACCGAAATCGATCAGAAACAAAAACGTCCTGCTAAATCTGAGCTTGGCATATCCGTACCTTATTTGGCCTTGTATCTTGACGAGTCAGTTCGCTCCCGTCAGTTTCGAGTGCAGTTGTTTCCCCGAGTCGGACAATCGGCAACTTATTCCCAACAACGACTTCAGATGGAGAAGAGACAAAAGTATCCGCAACGCAAGTGGTCCCAGGAAGGACTGTGGGAATGCTCTGACAGGCTCGAGAGACGGCGCCGCGGCCGTGCAGACAGTGAGCGGAAAGACGCCTTGAACGTCCCGGCGAGGGCGATGGCGGTTGGAGAAGTGAGGAGCAAGTTCCTCCAATGAGCGATGATAGAAACGGCGAAGCCGTGCTGCAACTTGCTAGTCGGTTCAGATACACCACACCAAGTGCGTTCAAGAGTTCAAGGGTCCAGCCAACACGCTAGCGAGCTAGAGACTGTTGGGTACCGCTCAGGATTCGTCCTGCAGATCTGGTGTTCAGGTCCCTGCTTATTGTAGACCCTCAAGAGGCGGAGGACCCTGCGATATGTTGCTAAATGCAGCAGGACATAGTGTGTCTTTTTCGGAGCATGAACGAGGTATGGTCGACGAGCCGTGTTGTGCCTGACGTACCATGACCTGGCGGTGATGATAAGGCAGATAGATTGCTTCTGGGAATTTGTCTCGTCGGATTGCACGTCAGTTGACTGAAAGAATGGCGGGATAAGGGATGGTGATGGTGCCACGAAAAGGAAGAAGGTGACTTGGACAAGTGCTCATGTCATGCTCTCGCTCCCGCCTCTTGGGGGTCTTGGGGGGGCAAGTGCGGTGTCAGTCAGCAGCGGTCTGAATGGCTGTGTAAAGTGGAGCCGGGATCTTCTGTGGTCCAGTTTTATTCACCAGCAGCCGTAACGATTGGAGAGGGTAACATCGAGGAAGGAGAGGGCTTTCCTGTCTGCACTCCGGGCGGACCCCTCCTTCTTCCCCCCTCGTCCTTCCCCCACCTGCCCGCTCTTTGCGCCGGACCACGGGCCCCGCACGATGCACCATGTGGATACCTCACGGCAGAGGTATCTTTCTTGCGTTTCGGCCGCTACTGTCGACTTCTCTGAGTTCCCATGTCTTGCCTGGTTTGTTTTTTTTGCCTCCTCTGGTCTGGCCTGGCCCTCACTGTGCCTCTTTGCTCGTACTGGCGGTGGCTTCTGCTTCCAGACTCTTTTCCGCCGCCATGCCTTTCCCCCAGCTATACAGAGCTATTGAATCCGGCTAGAAAGGCAGGTGAGAATATCCCAGCCAGCTCCATCCGTTTCGGCGGGGACTTTGTTTCCCAAGTCTTGGCTCCAAGCAGCCGAAATCCCGAACAGCCTGCTGTATGTGCATAGCAAAGCAAGGTAGAGAGACACGAGAACATCGCCAGTGGCCATCTTCAGACCCTTGGCCCTGGAGGCATTTACGAGCACTGTCGACCGTCAGACTGACCCGTTGGTGTGAGTGATGGGCATTATGTATGGCGAACCCGGGACCCATCGGTGTCCATCGATAAGGAGGGTCCTTGTTTCGCCGACACAAAGGGGATGGATGGTGGGATGGGATGGGATGGGATTGGGGGGTGTGAGGGCCGTTTTGTGCTTCCGTCCAGAGCGCGTTTTAAGCTTCTACTTACTCCCCTTACCCGGCCTTCGGTGCGGTCTACCACAGTAAGGTATTGTGTCGGTCGTTCCATGTGTGAGTGGTTTTGTTTCCGCTCGACTCGACAACTTTTCTCTTGTTCTTTCTCTTTTAGCCCCCCCATCCGCCGACCTCTTCTCTTCTTCTTCAACTGCCACCCTCTCACCATCCCCTCTCTCACTCTTCGCAGCCTTGTTCGTGTCCCAGACACATCCTGCTCGTGTGACCTTCCACACAGGAATCAGAGGCCATGATATCTTGAGTCTTCGGTGTGCCATGTGCTCCGCCCCAACCCGTAAGGACCCCTTCCTCCAGCCTTCTGAGGCTCCACACCCCGCTACCTGCACCGGCTGACCTCCATTATCGATAGCCGGCTCACACCCGTTCAGATAGCAGATCTCCACCAAAAATCCCTGGACCCTGGCCACCCCTCCATCCTGACCCCCCTTCTAAGAGAGTCGACAGCCTTCAAGACCATAACCTCTCCCCGATTACTCGCGCTTCATGTCTCATCCGTCTTCCTAGAGACTTGGCCTGTCTTTCGTGTGTTTCTCTGTGTGCCTGCGATCATCTCTTGCGACGTCGAATATGAAATAGGACCATCCGCCGACCGTTCCGAGCCTTTTCTCAACTCACCGGGACTAAGACGTGGACCACCGAGCTCAGCTTCACTGCCCCGCGCTACCTAACCTCGCCAACAAAGACGATACTGGGAGAAATTGCGCAACTTTGAGAAAACGGACTCGGTCGCAATTTGACTGTGGCAAAAAATCACAGCATTATTCGACGTCTTCTGTTCCTTGTCTAGAGGCGTTTTGTTCTTCAACCAGCTATCTCACTTGGTCAAGTCTTCGCTATGGCTGACATCGAAATCCCCGCCGGTCCGGCTCCTATGGAAGTCGTTGATGAGCAAGGCCCAGGCCTTTCAAATCCCTCAGGAAAAGCCAAGGGCCGGCACCGCGTGCTCTGTGGTGTGCAACGAATGTCGTCCACGCCTTCGTTGGCGAGGAGTGGCCGCACTAGATCACACAGCAATCCTCAACGTCCGAGGGGGAACGTTTCCTGCGTGAGCTTGGCAGGACCCTCAACCGCGGGGACCTCGTTCACTGGCGACTCTTATTTCCCCGCAGGCGCAACAGCATCAGGCTATGCCAGTGCCTCATCTTCCGTTCCAGGAACACCATCTAGCGAAATCATCCAGTTCGTAGGCATTGATGGCCGACTTGCTATTCGCCGGGTCGACAATGTCTTCCCTACTACGCAATCACCGGGAGCCCAAACCATTGGACTCCCATCCGATTTAAGGACGACGATTAAAGCCCAGGTTGCCAACCCCGCGGTTCCCAAGCGTGGCTTCAACTTCTGGGAGAACATGCCACACGAGATGCGCGTGCACATCTTCTCCTATCTATCACCCAAACAGCTTGTACGAGCTTCACGAGTTAGCAAGACTTTCCACAAGATCTGCTTTGATGGGCAGCTTTGGACGTCTTTTGACGCCACGGAATTTTACCAAATCATCCCTGCCGAATCTCTTGCAAGAATCATCGTAGCCGCTGGGCCCTTCATCAAGGACCTCAACCTCAGGGGCTGCGTTCAGGTCGAACACTATAAGAGGGCCGAGGTAGTCGTCAAGGCCTGCAAGAACTTAGTCAACGCGACGCTCGAGGGATGCCGCAACTTCCAGCGCAACACGTTACACAGCCTGTTGAGAACGAACGATAAGCTCGCTCAGCTCAATTTGACTGGTTTGACAGCGGTTACCAACATGTCGTGCAAAATCATTGCCGAGTCATGTCCGCAGCTGGAGATGTTCAACGTCTCATGGTGCGTACATATGGACGCGAGAGGTATCAAGGCAGTAATCGAAGGGTGTCCGAGGTTGAAGGATTTGAGAGCGGGAGAGGTCAGAGGATTCGACAATCTCGAGGTCGCCGAAACGATATACAAGACGAACAGGCTGGAAAGACTGGTTCTGAACGGCTGTGCCGAGCTCAACGACCGCGCGCTCAAGGTCATGGTTCACGGCGAAGACCCCGAAATCGATATCCTCACCGACCGACCGATCGTTCCCCCGAGGAAATGGCGTCATCTCGACCTCAGCCGCTGCGCCCGTCTGACTTCCCAGGGCGTCAAGGCTCTGGGATACAACGTCCCGGAACTCCAGGGCCTGCGCCTGTCCGGCTGCACCGCTCTCACGGACGCCGCGCTGGAGCCAATCTTCGCATCGACTCCGCGCCTCACACACATTGAGCTCGAAGACCTCTCCGACCTCACAAACGCCCTCTTCTCAGAACACCTGGCCAAGGCACCCTGCGCGCCGTGGCTGGAGCACCTCTCCATCAGCTACTGCGAGAACCTCGGCGACAGCGGCGTCCTCCCCATCGTCAAGAACTGCGTCAGCCTCCGGGCTATCGATCTCGACAACACCCGCATCAGCGACCTTGTCCTCGCCGAGGCGGCCTTCATGGTCAGCAACCGCTCCCAGAGCAACGCCGTCAAGCCAAAACCCAAGGTCGGCCTGCACATGGTCGTCTACGACTGCCAGAACGTCACCTGGACCGGCATCCGCGAGGTCCTCTTCCGCAACGCGCAGTCCAAGCCGTCCATGGCCGAGATTGGCAAGTTCGCCTACGCGTCCGAGGCCATTGGCCTCAAGTGCTTTTACAAGTTCCAGATGACCGTCGACGAGCACATGAAGCGCGTGCTCCGCGGGGACCTCGCTGCCGCCAACCGCCTCGAGCACCGGTGGGCCGATTACATGCAGGCGAGCGAGGAAGCCGGGACCACGGGCGCCGGTCACCGCCGGCGCAGACGAAGAGCGAGGGAGGCGCAAATGTTGCATGCCGACGAGGAGGAGGGCGGTAACGGCGGTCGGAGGCGGGGTCGAACCGTCGGGGCGTGCACGATTATGTAGTGGGAGACAATTCTTCAGCTCGTGATCGTGTAAGTGAAACTTTAGGGTCTCACTTGGGGAAGAAGTCTGTCTTTCCAGCCATATTCTTTCCGACGATTTCTTCGTCACATGGGTCACATATTTACTTGGCGTTCTGGAGCCATCACACACACACACACACAAGAGACGGCAAACACTCTTAACTTCCATTACTAGATCTGGGATGCAGCATCATCTTCAAGCCCGTGGAACGGAATTGAAACCCGGCGTCTCGCATCAGCAAAGGCGCTTTTATGCAGCACATTCTGTACTTATTGTTTCATTCTACAGCTGGAGTATTAGATGGGAATCTGGGTTCGGAGGAGATATTGGCCTATTCCAAGGGGGTCTTTGGATGTGGAATCGAGGAATTTACCTCTTGTATTTACGTGAAGGAGAAGCACTCTCTCTTAACTCCACTTCAAGGTTGGATACATAGGCTACTTCAATTGCACACACACCACACATTTCCTCAGTACAAATGTCATCGGAGCCATAACCTCATTTAGGTTTTCACGCAGTAGTGTGAACATAGACTGAATATTGAAAGGTACCCTTTTGGTATTATTCTCGAAAAAGTTCAGAGGCTAATCCACCCAGTAATTAGGTCGGACACTTTACCGGTCGCCGTGCTTTTACATGTCGCCGTGCTGGCGAATGTAACGCCGAATCTTGTCCTGAAAGACGTCGTCCTCGTCCCGCCGCTCATCACCCTCCATGACGTACATATCGTCGTCCTCGTCCTCGTACGGATCGCGGGTGTCAAACTCCTCCTCGTCCGAGGCATTGGCGTTGCGGAACAAGTAGGCGTGGCGATCGTACTCGTCCTCGGAATCGACCTCATCTTCGGGGTAATCCGCCGTGTAGTGATTCTCGGCTATGCGCACATTCATGTCAGTAAATGAGAAACAGAGCTTTGTTCGGTCCACAGACTTACCATTCTCGTCTTCATCATCGTCAAAATCCGAATCGTCGTCCTCGTTACCGTAAAACAGTTCCAAATCCTCTTGCGAATCGAACCTGAGCACACCAATCTGCTCGGGCGGAATCTCCGCCAGCACCGGCTTCGAAGGCGCGAGCTCGTACACCTCAATAACGTAGTCGTCGTCGCTCTCGTCGTCGTCTTCGCTCGCCTCCGTCATGGCTTCGTCGCCGCCATTGAGCTTCTTGACCATTTCCGGGTGGCGCTCGGCAAAGCGTTTGGCTGGCGCCTTGGGCTTGAAGCGTGAAGGCGACGCAACGGCGGACGGCGAGCGCGGCGGCTGCTGCGGCTGCTGCTTCTCCATAGCCTGGAGATTCAGCCCGATCTCGTGGAGAACCCATTGGTCCATGTCGGCCGCGATCTTGCTCATATCCTGCGTGGGAGCTGCGCCGGGCATGGGCTTGCGCTGCGGCTCTCCGCTAGGCGTCTCCGGCCCTGTCGTCGCCTCGGAGGCTGCACGCGAGGGAGGGGGGCGTTTGGCAAGTGGCTTCTTAGGCGCCGGCTTGTGGTCCTCCTTCATCTCAACATCAGCTGGCAGACCCTCCGTGGTCATCGTCGTCGGTGTGGTGCCGCCAGACGCCGTGGCAACCCGGCGTGCGCTCTTCTTCTTCCCCCGCTCCACGAACACGGCTGTCCCGTAGCGTCCCCGCTTGGAGACACCACCGGCCTTGAGTATAGTGCTGCCCCCAGGCGAACTCATGGCCGACCTGGACATATGGAATCGTCTCGGCTCGGTGGCGGGGTTCTGAGGGCGTTGCGGATCGGAGGCGGTCTGCGGCAGGGGCTTCTGTGCATCGAGCTGGGTCCGTGGCGGCGGCGCCACTGCCGGTGCCTTTCCTGTCGGAAGAGCATGGCTGCTCGAGTGAGGTGGGCGATGCGGGCTCGAGATCTCGTCACCGGGCTTCGACGTCTGGATGACGGGTATGGAGGGTTGCGATGGGTGCTGTGCTGCGGCGGCAGCGGCAGCGGATCTTGCGCTGGCTTTGGCGAGGCGCCTCTGGTAGACCCAGCTGCTGCCGGCAAGATGTCGTTTGGATCCCGGCTCGAGTTCTGTCTCCTATTAATTTGTCCGTCCGTTGATTGTAAAAAGGGAAGAGCGGTCGTACGAAGGTAGGTGACCGGAGCATCTTCATCGCCCCGCTTCCTCTTGATGTGGATCAGTTGAGGAGGGGCAGACATGATGGGCTAGAGAGAATAATAGAGACTGCGAAATCAGAAAAACGTAAGGAACGGGGGTGTTATCGGGGTCGTGAATGATTTGTTGTGGATGCCGAGAAATAAATCAAGCGCTCAGAAGTTGCATAGACAGTTCCTGGATTAGACTAGATCTGTTGCGACGTTGCAATTCATGCAGCTCTGGTTGACGATGTTTTTTCTGGAAGGTGGATTTTTCTGGAAGCAGCCACTAAGGCACACGGCGACCACATGTCGAGCACACCTACCTTACCTAGTGACAGTGCGCTAGGGGTAGAGCTGCGATAAGAAATTCTTATCGCAGTATCACGTCATTGGCTAAGGATCTCACCGCTTTCGGCAGAAAATACGCCGGTGCTGAGGATGGGGGAAATGGAAGCCCCGCCATTTCTGATCACGGTTGAGTTTCCCACCTTTTTTGAGCAGCACAAGCGTCAAGGTTCTAGATGCTGGATGAGATACGGCCAATTGAGCGTCTGAACTCATCCAGGGACGCTTCTCAAGCATCTTGAGTGCTATCATGTTGGTTTTTGAAAATTTCCAGATGACTGAGACATGGGGAGCTGGTCCCCGCTCTCGCTGAGCTTGATGACATTCGAAACCTCTGCAGCATCTACCCTTCCTCACTTGTCTAGCCTTTGGACAGGAGACGTTAGTTTGGAGTTTTGCACGCGACCACCTCATCCACCACGCCTGCGTATGGATCTCAAGGCAGTGGTGCTGAGATAAAAGGTCTATAGTGTTGATGTGTACTGCGTAGGTTTCGTAGGCTGCGACTTCGTTGATAAATAAACATTTGAGATGGAATTGTAGCTGATTGCCAGAGAAATACCCATTCCACGGAGCTTGTTTGGCATGATGGAGGTGGCTGTTAGCTCAATGTCTGAAGTTGCCGTCCCGGTCTGGGCCAGGCCCTCCAGTTCCAACTTCATCCACTGGGACCCACGATCAGCTTACCTTAGCCCAGCGACTGTGGAGCTGCATGGCTCGTGCGGTGCTAGAAAGTCTCCGATACTTTGGAAACGGGAGCAAACATAGCCAATGGCCATGTCCCAGCGACTCCCCTGCTCTCGGGATGCATCAGGGATGATGACGCACAAAGCATGCCGACGCTGAGATGGAGCAGCTGGGTGGCCATTGACTGCGGTGCTGATAACCGCTACTCTATGCTGGGGCAATGATTTGCGGGAGCTTCAGGTCGCGCATTGAGCGTTGCGTCGGGAGCTAAACCGCCAACAAAACTTGGATCAAACGGGGGAGGAATGGGTAATGTTGGTGAAAGAGAGGAAGCGGCGATCTCATCTCATGCCTCAGCACGGGTTCCTACTTCTATGGTCCATTCTCGTCTCATCAGGGACCAGCAATCGCCATGTGCCATACAAAATAGATGGTGCAATCCAGCTCAATTGCTGACAAGTCCGGGTCTTATTTCTCATAGCGTTGGAAGCCATGACAAACAAAGTACCCGACTGCAGGTCGCAAACCAGATTGCATTCAAACTCGGGCAAGTAAGGAAGCTGAAAGTGAGCAAGTGCTTTGCCTCAACTTTTCCTACCACCTTAGAAGGCTTAGATAGCAATTAGCCTCCTCCATGACCTCGTCCTTCCCAACCTCTTTCCCAGTCTCCTTCCTCTCCGGCCGGCACACCCCAACCTTTGACATGGCACATACGACATACGGAATAATCATGCAATGAACCCCTCCTGTGCCGCAGCTTCCCTGTTCTGAGCTGCTGCACCTCCCACCCACCTCACCCAGAACAAGGTATCGGCTTCTTGATCTCTCTACTGTCTGAGCTCCTCTCACCCAGCTCGAAGCATCTGCACGTTACGTTTCTCCTTCGGCCTCCGTATGGCCTTGCTGCAGTAAGCTCTGCCCCATTCTCCTCGTACTCTTCCAAACCCCCAATCAGCTCGTTCCCTCAAAGCCGTTTCACTCGCACAAAATACGCAGCCCCCGAATCTTCCTCGTTGGCGTCGTTGCGTGAAACACTCATCCGGAGACTCCACACTCCAGATTCCTCCCGTAGAATTGTCTCGCACCCTTTGGTGTTCTTCCATTTCTTTTTTTCCTTCACCAAAAGTCAATCCCATCACCTTTGACGCCTTCTTGCTTCCTACGACTAGCGCCGCATTTTAAGGTATCGCCCAGAGACAGCCGCATTCGTCAGCGTTGTTGCCCATCTCAACCCGCCACCCTCGCTGTGGGTTCCAAGGGAACGGCTTCCTTCTCTGCCATTTTCATCGAGTTTTCCTTCCCGAAAGGTTTCTCTTACCTGTGCTGACTTGAGCCGTGATAGAAGGGTAGCCGACGAAGAGAATCCACCTTTTCAAACGCTCGTCCTTGTGCGATTGAGTTGGCCGAGTGACGACGAGAGTTAAGCTACCCAACTTCAACCTACTTCGCCGCGGAGGCCGTCGTCGACAATGGTTTCCGTGACCATCACCTACAAGCAGCCCGGGACGCAGCCTCCCATCTTTGTCGCCGGCTCCTTCTCAAATCCAAAATGGGAGCCCCAGGAGATGGACTTCACCACCGAAGATGGTGGAGAACACACGTTCTACAAGAACATTGAAGTTCGGCCAAACACGCAGATCGAGTACAAGTTCCGTGTTGGTCTAGGGGACTGGTGGGTTCTTAACGAGACTGCAGCTATAGGTATGTTTGCCCCCAAGTTGCGCAATGCTGCGTTTTCAGCAAGCTCGTCTAACATGGAGGTAATCTACAGTCACCGACGGATCTGGCAATCGTAACAACCTCCTGACAGCACCTGCGTCTCAAGAGTTGAAGGAACTCAACGGTGTGAACGGCGACAGCCAACCTGCAAGCGAAAACGCCTCAACTTCCGAAGACGTGAACGCGTCAAAAGCTGCCAGAGAGCATACTGCTGCCCAGCTTGAGCCGAAAACAAAGCTCCAAGATTATCTCAAGGACGAGGAGCGGCAAAGACTTTCGTCGACCCCGATCGGCCAAGTTGCGGACACCGCCGCAGAGGTCGCTGATACCGCCGAGAAACTTGACGCCGAGGTCGACATGTCTAGACTTGCAGCGCTCCCCAAGGGCGTGGAGCACCTTAAGGACGAGGAAAGGGGGCGTCTGTCTTCGACGCCGATTGAACAAGTTGCGAGCACTGCGGCTGAGGTTGCCGATTCTGCCCAGAAGCTAGACGCTGATGAGGTATGTGCCAAACAAGCGGCAGACTCATAATTGTAGAGCCATGACTGACAGTATGATAGGATCTTAAGGAAGAGGACTCGGACGACTGTCCTGCACCTTTATTCGCTCACGAAGCTCTTGGACCCTACGAGCCTTCAGCTGATGACGAAGATGAAATTCCAAAGGACTACGATCATCATGGCACTGTGGAGTACGATGTCGACGAGTATGACCTCAATGATCCCACCCTCGAGCGGTGGCCCTCTAACAGGGACGGAATCATCGATGCCGTGCGCAAGGTCGAGACTGGGCGCAACGAGGATCGGACTGCTTTCTATGGCGCGCCCATTTCACCTATAAATGGAACACGCCGGGCCAGTTCTGATCAATACTTCGATGAAGCTGTCCTTTCGTCTGGCCCCTCTAGTCCGGGCTCCACCAAGAGGCTGGAGCTTCCGCGAAAGTCACACGGCTCCATGGTCTCGGACAGATCACTCCTTTCTCTGGGATCAATCGCCGAAGAGGATAAGGAGACTCCGAATGCCGAGGAGGCCAATCGCGAGGATGAGGGCTTGGTCAGAGTTCCGAGCCCCGCGGTACGGCCAACGCCGCATGCTTTTACATCTCCCGGGAGTGATGATGACGAGGGAGTCGTTATGAAAGGCTCCAAATCCAGGAAAAGCTCAGAGTCGTCAAGCTCAGATTCACCTGCTGCCAACGGCCAGTCCAACGGCAAGCAGTCAAGGGATCTGTCGCCTAAGACTCGCCCCGCCGAGCCTTTGAGCCCTGCCATCCGCGTTGAGCCGCCCCAAGACAGAGCAAGCTCCAGTGTCAGTCAGGACGGCGAACTGGCAAGGGCTTCTGCTTCGAGCCCCGGCGGCGAGGCAACGACCTCCGGCCGCGATGGTGGTCACAAAGGCCAGCTCAAAAAGCGCGGGCCTGCATCGACCGAGCGTCCTGGAACCCCTTCCTCGATACACAGCGTCGCAGACAGCAAAGGAGGCTGGCTCCAGGCCTTCTTCCGCGTATTGTTCGTAGACTGGATTGGTGGACTGTTTAGCCGGTTGTTCGGCAGCAAGAGAAAGGCGTAAGGTCATCTCTCTATTCCGGTTCGCATAGCACAGTGGATCGGTTGCTCGTGTTCTTCTCATTACCTTTTCCTTTGTTTGTCATTATTCCTCACAATATCTGACAGGTTGACTTTTGTCCGCAGGATGCTGGCCACGAGCACGGCTGCCATCGTTGTAGGAGTTGCATGGTGGAAGTTCGCCATGGGCGGCGACTTGACCTGGCTTGAAGCATTGATCTGATGGGTCACACAGAGATGGGAAGGGTGTGTGCGGGCCGAAATTGCAAAGCACCGGAGGTTGCAGTCAGAACAAAACAACTTTTGATTTGTACAATTAGGTAATGGGGTGTGGAAAGTATCGTTATGGAGGACGAAGAATCGATTACCAACAGCGGAAGTGGTGGATAACAGCGGAAAACAGAAGTTGCGTTGAGAGAGAGCATCAAAACAGACATTGATATTTGACGAATTTGACGCCGAGACACCTTTGTTCTGTGCAAGGGTGCCTCTCCGGGAATCATCGCTTGCTTGCCTGCTGGCTCACTGTATGTGACGTACATTTATACGGGATCGGTCAGAACACAGCCTGTCTTCTTAAATCACTCTCCAAATGGCACCGGCTCTCTGGGTATCTCTGCCGCGGCCGTCGTCTCCCTCTCTGTTCATCTTCTTAATCCACTCGTTCTCCCTCTCCACCGCCGCTGCCTCGATTTCTTCCATGACGGCCAGCTCGTCGAGCATGTCCCTGACGAGACTGCTGCATCCGTCCAACATGCGCTTCAAGCTCGACGCTTGTGTCGTGGTAGCACTAGCGGTCGCGTCCTCGTCATCATCACCGCGATACTCTAGCTCCCTGAGCTGCGCATGCCACCCCTCGAGACGCCTTACCAACGCCGCGGCGTCGTCTTTCCACCGCGCGTCGAGGCCGCCGCCGAAACGGACGTCCGCGTTGTCGTCGAGGAGGGCGGAGGGGTCGGCGCCGTCTTCTGCGCGGGCGCGGGCGGCTTCGAGGTCGGCGAGGGAAGAGGCCCAGCGCTCGAAGGCGCGGACGAGGCGGTGGTGTTTTCCGCCTGGGTCGTCGAGGGACCAGAGGGATGTGAGGAGGGCGTCTAGGCGCTGGACGCGGTCTTCCAGCGGCAGGGATGATGTTACTGCCTTGCCGCTTTTGCCGGTGGATGCTCCCCAGCTACTTAGGGCTGCGAGGTTACGGCGCTCCGCGGCGTCGGATTCGAGGGCTGCGAGGCTTCTCGCCGAGGCCGCGAGGTCGGCGTGGCGCGCGGCGAGCTTGGAGCGGGCGCTGGCGTGCCATTGGGACGTGACCTGCGGCAGGTCGCGGTGGAGGAGGTGGAGCTGGAGGAGCTCTGTTTGGAGGCGGGAGGTCTCTGCCGTGAGGGCGATGTTGGCGGGGAGTTTCGACGGGGACGGGGCGGCGAGGTAGGTTGCCGTCAGGGGTTTTGGGGCGAGAGATTTGGCGGGGGAGTAGTGCTGTTGCAAGGTCGAGAAGGCTGGGCGGAGGACCGGTTTTGTGGTTCTGGGTGGTGAGGTTGGGGAGGGGTGTCGTTGTTGGGCTTGTTGGCGGGCGAGGTGTGGTGGTGCTGTTGTTGCTGCTTGGTGGGATGGTGGTGGTTTTTGAGGTTGTTTGAGGGGTTGGCGGGTTGGTGCTGTTGTTGTGCTGCCTGCTCGGGCTGTGCGCGTTGATGTTGTGGTTGTTGCGGAGGAGAGGGAGGATACGGATGGTTTCGAGGAGAGGCGGTCTGTTGCTGAGGGGGGACGGGGTCTTGTGGTCGTGGATGCTGTTGAGGATGGGTAGGAAGACGTCGGAGGTGCGCCGTATAGGGACGTCGGGCGTGATCTCGGTGCGGCGCCAGTGGCCCCGGTAGACGACGTCTGGCTTGGGGGTCGGAGGACGGTGCTGTTGTTCAGGGTCGCGACGCTCCTTGCGCGCGCGTGGCCCTTTGTTGGACTCCCAGCTCCTACCGCTGTTGCTGCTGCTCCTGTCGAAGTCGTCGTTGGTGCACCGGCGCGTCTCGAGGATGGTAGACCGCCCGAGGTCGTCGGTCTCGCTGTCGTGGGCGTCGACGGTCCGGAACCAGCGCCGGTTCTACCTGCAGCAGCATTGGATGACGAGACGAGGCTGAGGTTGCTCGTCGAGGCGTTTGCGGGATATCGCGTCCGTGTCAGTCCCGGTTCCCTCGTCGAAGTCGTCCTCGTAAGGCCCGAGAGCGCGCTTGTCCTGCTCAAAGGGGCGCTTATTGGTCCCGAGCTAGCTAGTCCTCCTCCTGCTCCAGCACCTGCTACCACATCTCTTTGTCTCGTCGAAATCGACGTTGTCACGGACGCTGGTTGGCGCGTCGAAGAGCTTCTGCTCAGCAGCGACGATAAGGGGTTCGGCCTCTTCTTCTTGGGCGCCTCGGAGGCGGTTGTGGCCGCCGCCGCTGTACTGCTCGCGACACTGGCGCCGGAGACGGTGCGTGTTGTGGGACGTGTTGCGGCGAGGGACCGGGGCGCGGGTAGTCTACTCGGGGATACGGGGCGGTGGGATGTGGACGCCGACGCTGATGGCGCTGCTGCTGCTCCTCCTGTGGTCGAGCTCGCGGGGCCTCTAGCTGCCGTGATTGAAGCCGAGGAGGATACGGAGGTTGCGGTCGTAGGGGGAAGATCGGTCGAGGAGCCCTGCGTTGGCTTTCGCAGGGAGCGGGTGCGGGCTAGCGACGAGGACATGACTACGCCGGGGTCTCTGGTATGTGTGTGGTGATCATGCGGTTCTGGAGGTCGGTGGTTCTCTCCCGATGCTCGATGGTCCCGCTGGTCTCGGCGCGAGTCGCGGCCGGGTTTCGAGGTCTCTGCGGAGACCCCGCGCTCGCGGTCGGTTGTTCGGTCAATTGGTGAGTTAGCGAAAGAGTCGCCAATGCGAGATCGATGAGGGTCGCAGCGAATTCGGTGGGTATCTTCGCCAAAGGGCCGCCGGGTTCGCGATGTTGATGTTGATTTTCGACGTCAGGGGCCGCGCCGTACGGTTTCGTTGCGGTGTGGGGGTTGCTAGGGGCCCGGGCGACGGTGGGGGGCCGATGATGAGTGAAGATCAGGACCAGGTTCAGATGGGAGTTTGCATTAAGATAGAACGGTACTTATGGCTAATGGTTAGACCTGGCCACAACAAAAGTATTGCAGTAGCGGGCCGGTCCAGCCACCGCCCTGCAGGACTCCAAGGAGTCTTCTAGCGCCGGCGCTTGGATCTCCTCGACTCCAACGTCGGCGGGCTGAGCCGAACAGTGGCACCCCGTCTGTTCGCGAATCTCAGCTGGTGTCTTTTTATTTCCTTCCGTCTATTTTCTCCGATGAGACCCCTCCCTACCAGTCTGTATGGATACTCCGTACTTCGTAACATCCCTCGTGTGTCCGCCAACGCGATGCAGTAATTTCCGGTACATCCGGTAAATAACTCAACCTGCCTGGTTTCTCCCCCCTTCTCGCTGAACGTCGTGCCCCGACACATTTGCAGATGGGCAAGTCGAGGAAACAGTTCCTGCGTGTCTTTGCTTATTACACAAAGCGTTGCGCTTCTCGTTGGTGTGTCCCTGAGTTTTGGGACGTATGTAGCACCACAGTTCACCGCATATACGAGCTTGAAGATCTTTACTTTGAATTTCCTTTTCTTCTTTTGTGAAAAAAGTAGTCGGGCTTCAATTCCGGCTCTCTGAGAGCCCACCCTTCCAAAATCTGGAGTTAACCTGTCTTTCCCCATTTGCCTGTATTGTCCTTTCTCGTTATCAAGCTTCGTTTTCGTATGCTCAGAGCTTGCATCAAGCAAGTAATAGTAGTAGTAGTGATCCCTTCCAACAAACAAGAAAAATGTGCGCGTGACCCTTTTCCATCCTTTTCCCTAGGGGCCACGACTTCCTATAGACAAACATTGGTATCTTGGGGGCGAGAAGGGGTATCAACCAATCGACCTCTCTATCTAATCCCGCAATGCAGAAAGTTGATCATTTCCCCTTGGTGACGAAGATCCGTGAAAGTCCGGCCGCCGGGGAAAATGTTGAAAAACCGCTTGGAAGTGAAAATGACCATGTGATTTCCCTATGCCAAGCAAACAAGAAGAGAATTGGAAAAATGTGAATTTGAAAGCAATCAGGCTGTGACTGATTGCTGGTTCTGTTGCTGTTGTTGAGCGTCTGTACGCTGCTCTTCCTTCTCAGGGGCCTCGATGCCAGCTGCCGTGGGAGGACGCTCCTGGGAGCCGCCGCTCTGAGGGTTGCCCTCCAAGTGAGCCATAAGCTTCCGGAGGTCTCTGCGGTTGCTGTTGAAGATTTGCAGGCAGGAAGCGCACATGCGTACGTAGCAGAACTGGCACTTATAACGATCCTCGGTATCGGCCTTGCCGCACGTCTGGCATGTTAGGGCGTAGTTGCGGTTGCGAGTTCGGTCCATGGTGCGGTGCTTGACGTAGCAATCGAGCATGCTCTCTTTTAAGGGCAGAGCCTTGTAGATCATGCCGGGGCTGGGAGGCTCGGAACCCTGCATGGGGAAGAACGACGCGCGAGGGTCGGCAGGCGGCAGGTCCTTGACCTTGAGCTCGCGGTACTCGACGGGTTCTTGGTTGGGGCGCTGATCTCTCGAGGCGGGTCGCATATCTCCCTGCGCGAATCCGGGTGCTGGCGCATAGGGTACATACTCTCGCTGCTGCTGCTGCTGCTTGTTGGAGGCGGCCCGAGGCGGCAGCTGGTTCTGAGGATCGGGACTAACAGGGCTGACTGCAAAGTCTCTCGTGATTGTCGGGGGAGCCTCGTTGCTGGTCACAGGCCCATCTGCGCGCATTTGAGGCAGGCTTTGAGCGTTGTGTAAGTTGCGGGCCGTGACCGCTTTGCGGGGGATAGGAGGCTTGGACTCGTTCGATTGCTCGCGGCCAGGCTCGGGAGAGGAAGCGGGTGAGACGGGCGATACGATTGTTTCGACAACCGGCGTTTTGACGTCTTCCTTCTCATAATCGGGAGTCGGCAGGCGTTGAGTTGGCGAGAGCGCAGTGTCGCTATGAGACGTTCCCACATTTGCGCCATTTTGACCATCGCGCAAATGATGGACTTTCTCCTTCAACCGCGAGACCTCTTGGCCCATGTTGCTCGTCTGAGCCGCCTGACTTTGAGAGGGAACTGGGCGAATATTTCTGCCGGGAAGATTTGACGTGCTGCGAGGAGGAAATTGTTGCTGCTGGGCCGGAGGAGGAGTTGCTGTGTAAGATGATTGCGCGGTGTTGGGCTGAGAAGAAGCAGCGGTTGACCCGTGGCTGACTGTTAGGTGTAGATCTGGCACCTCTATATTACGATCAGATTTTACGGATCTCCTCCTCCATAGTGGTCGCTGCTGTTGCTGAGGCGATGCTGCCGATACATAGCTTGTCGGGCTGCCAGCAGTCGGGGCGGGTGCCGAGTTGACCGGAGCGGCGCCGGCCTGCTCATTGTAGTAGGCCGGGTGAGGTGGTAGGCCCTTGTTGGATGTGAACTTTTGTGCGCCGTAGTGGTCATTGTCACCGGATGACAACGAGGTTGGCGTCAAAATCTTGTTTTCCCTTGTCCCATAGTGTTCAGAGTTGTATGCCTGGCTCGAATCTCTCTGACTTGCGCTTCCATCCGGCGACATGATGAGGGATTCCCCTGAGCTTCTTGAATAGGCCGAGAGCAGACTGCCGATGGAGTTCCTTTCGTCCTCGGGAGAATACTGCTCTTGCTGCTTCTGCTGGTTCGCCGGGGCAGAGGGCGGTGGTGCTTGCTTTGCAACTGGGCGGCGAGGTATATGTACCGGGGGCAACGCTTTTGTCTCGAGAGGAGGGAGGGGAGGGAGAGACTGGTTGAGGGGTTGCGGTGGTGGAAGCGGTTTGTCTGACATGGCGAATGTCTTCGTCTTCTTGGACGGGAGGGGAGGAACGGGAGGTATCGAAGGGAGCTGCTTAGACTTGGGAAGAGATTCGGCCTTTGGAGACGGAGGGGTGGGTAAGGCTTTTGAGAAGCGGGATCTTCCCTTGCGACTGTGAGAACGGAGGAAGTCCATTTTGAACGAGGGCCCCCGGATGGGATGGCGGTGGGTTACCCTATAATTGGGATGACGGCGCAGTATCCGTACTGCGTACTCCGTTACCCCTTCCCCTTTGCTACCTTGCCTCACTTCTCTTTGGCTTGACTGCGGATGTAGTTTTTGGTCTGCTTAGACTCTCACTAATCGGCTGGCTAGAGGAAATCACCAAGGAGGTAGGGCCAGGGGGGATCAAGGCACCGGAAGCTGACCACGGAGGGCTGGTGGGACTCGAGAACGTGGGACGACGGTTTGAACAGGTTGATTGGGGCGATGAAGTTCGAGGGGTGGGTTTGCCTTTGCCACGACGTTGAGTATTTTCAGTGCCGCAGTGTTGCGATGCTAGGAGAAACAAGCATCAAGGGTCTTGAGAATTGAGGAGTAGGGAGGAGTAGACGAGGATTCCGCGACGAGGACCGCAGCATATGCCTGTAGGATAAGGAGTACCTTGGTAAGGAGAAAGAAGAAACTTGAGAGGAGTGTCCAGGAGTTGGTTGGATAAGAATGTAACTTGACGGGGTGGCAGAAGCAGAACAATGAGTGAATGACACCGGAAGAGATGGGAGACGGAAGAGAGAGTACAGGGTAATAGGTGAGGTGGTAAGGAAGTGTAGTGCGTAGTGCGTAGAGGGGGGGGGAGGGGGGTGTAAGTTCGGCTTCAAGTTTAAAGCTGGCAGCCACGGAGAACCCTGCGACGGGGCCGGGTGTCTGAACATTGACCTTGTCTTCCCTCTCTCTGTGGTTGGGAAGTTGGGAAAGTTGGGATGGGATTGACAAGGATGTCATCGATATGTTCAAGGTGGAAAAGTACCTTGTGGATTGCCCACCTCGTCAGCAATGCAAAAAGGCACTGGACCTCAGATGCGTTAGTACCAAGAGGTCCGGATACGCGGCGTGCCTAACATGTATGCGTGTCTAAGGTACCATGGTATCTGCCTGCCTACCTACCTTTACTAGGTACCTAAGGTAAGCACCAAAGGTCACCTCAATAATTGGACGGAAGACATGCTGGGTGAAGTATCTTGAGTGTGTTGTCAGCAGCCAAAAGCTACTTAGGTAACTACTTGAAGTACCTTAGGTAAGGTAAAGCATCGCAATCCTTCCATTTACTTCGCGACAAAAGGCACTATTTTATTTTTGCTAGCGTGCCTGCCTGCCTGGACGACTAGGTACGGCACCGTGGCACCACAATGTCCGTCATTGGCTCCGTCAGACTGGATCCGGCCCCTCCCATCTCAAAGTGCGGAGCAATTGGCAGTTGCAACCCTCCTCAGCGTCCCAGCAGACATCGGCAGCCCTGCAATGAAAGCAGGCATTGCAAGCAGGATTCAGGAACAGAACAACACTTGCCGGGGTTGTTCGGGGCTGGGTTATTCTTTGGGGGCTGGCTTGTGCGTGCACACTGGCAGTCTGGCAGCACTGCTTGGCCGGCTGGGGCTGGTGGAGTGGCGGCTCGCAGTTGTCTTGACACGTCCCCATGTACCCCACCACCAATTTCACTATGGACAACGACTTTGACAGCGCACCCACCTCAAGGTACCTAGGTAACCACCTCACCAGCCCACCACCATCGGCACCTGCATCATCAACCTACCTTACCTCTACGCAGTACTCACGGGCAACGGAGGCCGAGACGGGGCCACCTCTTCAGGCTT